CAAAAAAAAAAAAAAAAAAACTTAAGAATCCTTTAACAGAAGAAACGTGGAGTCAAATAGTTTGTCTTCTACCCATATATATATATATATATATATATATATATATATATATATATATATATATATATATATATATATATATATTAAGCCCTAACCCTATTGAATAAGTATATATCATTCTACGTACATCAAAGGCAGCAGCTCAAACCCAAATGTCTAATAACTTTCCCAATGATATCACCATTGATATATTGCTAATGCTTCCTGAGAAATCGCTTCTACGGTTCAAAAGCGTTTGCAAAACATGGCGTTCTCTAATTGAAGATTCTCAATTCGCCAAGCAACATTATTGCTTGAATAAAATCTTACAAGCCCTCGAGAACCATCGACGATTCTCTTTAGACGCCCCACTTATTGAACCACCTTCACAAATCAGTATTTCATTGACCAAAAGATTTATGAATTCTTGCACCAATGGTTTCTTTCTTCTAGCTTTTCCATTACCTGACAAAGTTATTTTTTGGAATCCAGACCTCAGTGAATCCACAACAATCCGTCTTCCGTTCCCTACTACATCTTTTATTACTCTAGGAGAATGCTTGTATTTGGCTAAGTACAATATGATGGTCGAATTGGAAGTTCAGAAAAAGAGCAATTCTTGGACTAAAATGTTGGCAATTACGGAATCTGAATTTGAGCCTGTGTTCCTTAAGAAGGGTGGTGGAGACATGTTGTATTTTAGAAGGGACAAAAAGGAATATGTAGTTTATGATTCAAAAACTCAAAAGTTCAATCAAGTTAAAGTTGCTGGATTTGAAGCAAGACGAAAGCTGAAACGGGAATTCAAAATTACTGGGCCTCAGCCATTGTTGTTCATCGATCGAACATATGTGGAGACTTTAATCTCTCTTAATGCTCTACAGAATTAAAACTTATCAGTTTGCAAGATTATTTTTCTAGCGTTTATTTTCATGCTTGTCCCATTAGAGAAAAAAGGGGGCAGGAATTTGAAGCTCTATGCATGTGCAAATTTTCCTGTTTTGCATGGCCTGGAGAACAACATAAATATTATAAGAGATTATTTTTAACACCTTTTGTAATTTTTTTATTTAGTGATGTTTATTCTTTACCTTCATATTTTTCTTCTTTTCATAAGCTTAAAAGAGCCACTATGTTATGCCTCACTTCAGTAGGAGGCCAATATATTGCTTCATAAATTTGATCTTTTAGTGTATGCGTCTAATCTTTAGATTTATCTAATGTTTGTCTCGGTTGGAAAGGCTAATTCAAAGTTGGAGTAGAAAAATCAAAGTTGTTTCGGTTTGATTCTTTTTAGCTATCATGACCTAAATTCCATTATAGGTTCTCGATCAAGTATCAGGAACGAGCGCCGGACGGGTAGCTAGATGCACCTCTCTCAGATCCTGTACACTTAAGTACATTAGCGTAGTATGAGTACATAAATAACATGTACCCAGTAAGTATCCAGTCTAACCTTGAAGAAGTAGTGACGAGGGGTCGACTTGACACCTACTAGGGACAATAATAATACAATTTAAGTTTTATGCTAAGCATGAATAACATTAATATAATGACAGTCCAAGGACGAGAAATAAGATATCCTTTCTGTCACGACCCAAAATCCCTCCGAAGGAGTCGTGATGGCACCTAGTCTCTAAACTAGGTAAGCCTAACATTTACTGACTTCAAATTAATAACTATCAATAAATCACAATTCCCAAAACCGGTGATACAAGTCATAAGCCTTTCTAAGAGTAGTTATACAAAATAAATACAACACTGTTCTAGAACGAGAAGGAATCAATGGAACGTAAATACAAACGAAGGTGACTCCGAGGCCTGCGAACGCAGCAACAGGTTACCGTGAGTCTCCACCGCGACGACCCGCACAGCTACGATCAATACCTGGATCTGTACACAAAAATGTACAGAAGTAGTATGAGCACACCACGGCGGAGAGAAATCAAGATACAAACAGTAGGAACGATAAAGGGAGAACACGGGTAGTAACGAACGATACCCAAGTAAATCAGATAACCAAGCAAATTAGATAACCAAGTAAATCAGATAATAGTAAGTCAGATAACCAAGTAAATCAGATAACCAAGTAAATCAACACTGACACAACAGGAACAGAGACAAGTAAGAATGTATTCAAATAAAGAAGGCAATACCAACTCAATCAATCACATCATGTCTAATACACAATCCCGACCATCTCAATCCTCGGTTTCTCTTATCATAATTCCAACTTCCGAACCTTCAACACACATGGCACCTTGTGCCCCCATATTTTTCATCTCACTTTTAACAACAAAATCCACATGCTATACTATACATAATGTCCGTATAAATGCACTCAAGATATTCAAGAAGTCTTATTCACCTCGTATAAGTAAATTACTATTTCTAAACTAATTAGGAAAGTCTGCGAGAAAAGATGAGGTTGTTTCTTTTGAAATTATTTGAGTAAAGAAAGTACCCCTTTCAATTAAAATACAACATCGACTGAATTATTACCTTTAACATGGGAGTTAATAGCTTAAAACTTAGTAGAAATTCCTTTTAAGTAAAATACGAGCTCAGACGGTTTAAGGGGATATAATTGAGAAACTAATTGAATTAAAGATGTAACAATTTTTTTGAGGTTTGAAGTATTGGAACGTCTAATATATATAAATACGGCGAAGTATTGATAGCACTGTAGGTTCCAACACAAAGGATCACAACAATAAAGGAAATTAAATAGTTAAAACACTTGAATTGATAACAACAAATAAACACAGCAACAGAAAGTGCATAGCATCACCCTTCGTGCTTTTACTCTTGTTCTCACCATAAGAATCAATATTCACTTTTATTCTTTCTTGTTGCGGCGTGAAACCCGATCCTAATCATATAGTACTGTTACGGCGTGCAACCCGATCCAAATCATATAATACTGTTGCGGCGTGCAACCCGATCCAAATCATATAATATCGTTGCGGCGTGCAACCCGATCCAAATCATATAATATTGTTGCGGCGTGCAACCCGATCCAAATCATATAATATTGTTGCGGCGTGCAACCCGATCCAAATTATATAATACTGTTGCGGCGTGCAACCCGATCCAAATATATACAAGTCAACACCAATCACAAAGAATCCCGGCAAGGGAATAATAAGGAAACAACAATATCCCGGCAAGAGAGTCAACAACAAGAATAAACACACCCCGGCAAGGGAACCAACAGTAATAATGAAATATGTCTCGGCAAGGGAATCAACTATAACCAAACTTGTACCAACAATTACTTCACAATGAAACCTCAACTAAACAACAAGACATAATAAGCAAGTGATAACTACACCGGTAACCACAATAATTGGATCACGAAGTCATAGAGGAACTCACAATCAAGAAGTATCAAAGTAGTAAGGAAGGCAATCACTTCAATTAAGGCAATTAAGGGCCAAAGCAACACGAAAGAATTAGAGGAAAGCTAACAACATCATGTGGAGCATATAGAGACAATTTAAGCAATTATTACACTCAATCATACTGGAATACTTTCCACATATTGAACGTAAGGACCTAAGAACGCTAAAGCATATTTCCCACAGATAAGTCCGAGCACACACTCGTCACCTTGCATGCACGGACTATAATTAGCATAGAAGACTCAAATCCTAAGAGGAAGTCCCCCACACAAGGTTAGGCAAGATACTTACCTCGAAGACGACAAACCGATACTCTAAAATGCACTTCTCGGGTGAAAAGACCTCCGGACGGCTCATATATAACCAAAAACGACTTGAATACATCTAACAATGCAAGAGAAAACAATTCCAATTAACAAAACTATGATTCCTATACAATTTGCAAAAAGTCAACAAAAGTCAACTCCTCGGGACCGCACCTCGGATCCCGATAAAATTTACAAAAATTGAATACCCATTCCGATACGAGTTCACCCATACAAAAATTATCTAATTCCGATACCATTTGGTCATTCAAATCATCATTTTACATTTTTGAAAGATTTTACAATTTTCCCCAAATTTTCCTTTAGATTCTCATGAAGTTGATGTTAATAAATCTAAGGTATAATCATAAAATATAGTTGAAAATTGATTAGAGACACTTACCAATGATTTGGAGAAGTTTGGGTCCTTGAAAATCGCCCATGGAGGTTTAGGGTTTGAAAAAATTGAAAAATGGGTGAAAATCTCGTCAAAAACCTCACTTAACAGGCATCAGATGTCGCATTTGCGATCCAGGGTTCGCATTTGCGAACACCTCGCAATTACAAACAACGCAGGGCTGGCAAAAGTCGCATTCGCGACAAAAATCTCGCATTTGCAAACTGGGCATCGCAAATGCGATAAAAAGTATGCATTTGCGACCACACCAGAATCATCAATTTTTCCTGACACGAAAATGAGCATAACTTCCTCATACGATGTCCAAATTCGATGATTCTTTTTCCTATGGCTCCCTAATTTCGATACAGATCTAATGGTTCAAACAAAACTGAATTTGGATCTCATTTGCTAAATGTGGTATTATTTTTGCTTGAAGAAATGACGATGAAGCATCCAAAAACAAGCGCAACATAGCCTAAACCTATCTAAAACTCACCAAAGCCCTCGGGGCTCCAAAACAAACATGCACGCAAGTCTAAAAACTTCATACGAACTTGCTCGCGCAATCAAGTCACCAAAATAACATCAATAACTATGAATTTAACCTCAAAACTCATGATTTTCTAACTTTTCAACCGGACGTCCAAATCACGTCAAATCAATTCCGATTTTCACCAAATTTTACAGATAGGACTTAAATATCATAACAAACTTGTACCAGGCTCTGGAACCAAAATACGGGCCCGATACCAATGAGTTCAAATATTAATTCATTTATTTATTTCCTTTAAAAACCAGCACAACAATTTTCTTCAAAAATTATTTTCTAAGGCTAGGGACCTCGGAATTCAATTCCGGGCATACGCCAAAGTTCCATATTTTGTCGCGGACCTCCCGGGATCGTCGGAGCACAGATTCGGGTCCGTTTACCAAAAATGTTGACCAAAGTCAACTAAAAACCAAATTTTAACTCTAAAAATTACTAGTTTTTTTTTCATATTTTCACATAAAAGCTTTTCGGTTTCACGCCCGGACTGCGCACGCAAGTCGATACACATAGTATGAAGCACTCGTGACCTCAAGCTGCCGAACCAGACGAAATTGCTCAAAACGACCTGTTGGGTCGTTACAGTTTCCTAACAACTTATTAATTTCGGTCATATCATGCAATAAGTTACATTTCAAGAATTTAAGTAGTGTAATTCACGGAAAGTTCCACATAATTAACATGCGCACATTATGCCGAGATCGTACGACCCGGTCCGATATAATAATAAACTGTGCACTGCCAGAGGGTCGAATGGAGCGAACCATAGATGCTTCTATTTACTATCGAGGCGATCGGCCCGATCCACAAATAGCAATTTATTATCATGTGTGAGCACGTGATTTTTGCCCTAAGTGAATTACTCCCAAAAATTCAAACAAAATGACTTCTTTCATTATTCTGCAATTTTGTGAATTTTTGTGTTATTTTCTGTTAATTGTTTGCATTTATTTGTGCATTTTAATTCATATGAAAAATATAAAAAAAAATACACTTCACATTTGCATTTAGGATTCAATTTCATATTTTTAGGATTAATTAGTAGTTAAATTATTTTTAAAACAAAATATAAAGAAAATAACAAAAATAGTCCATTTTTGCATTTTTTTTAATTGTTGAATTTGTCATGGGTTTGCTTTAAGTAGGACTTAATCAATTTTAGGACTTAATTAGTTTAATTTTGGAAATAAATTTGGTCTTTATTTTAATTTTGCATTTTAATAAAGTCAGAAAA